GAATTGTGGCTTTATCCTTCCTGCCCAATGTGGTTGCCTCTTGATAGCTTTGCAAGGAAGAGGCTGGAATGTGGCTGACTTGGCGTTTCCTAGCACCCCCCTACACCCCCCTATGTGTCCCCTGCCACACAGCTGGTGAGGCCTGGACCCAACTCCAGACAGGGCTCGGTTGGTCTGCTTGGCTTGGCTAGTGCATCCAGGTCGGCCCGCCTCGCCTTCTCTAAAACTGCTTGGGTCAGCAGAACGGGGCCCGAGATCTTAGCCAGAGCAGGTTTCCTTGTGGTAAATGAGGCTGGCTCTCCAACTGTGCATCGCAGCCAAGGCCTGGCGGGGCTTAGGCTGCAGAAGCAAAACTGAAAGTGCTGGAGGAGAAGGGTGGCACCTGCCACCTCTGAATCTGGGAGAAGACTCAGTGGAGCCAGTCCAGGGAGGGACTTGGCTCTCCGGGGTTTCCTCATCCACGGAGCCCGGAGGCAGCAGGACAGCCACCAAAAAGGCCCAGAGGCAGGGTAGATGCCAGGATTTTACTGACCCGCAATCTTCCAAAATCTGAAATTTGGTATCATTTGGGCATGTCTTTAGGAGTCCCTATAGGGTTGCTATGAGTCAGAGTCAATTTGATGGCAAAGAGTTTTTGGTTTTAGGCGTCCCTGGGGGGTGCAAGTGGTTAAGCGCTCAACTACTAACCAGAAGGTGGTTCAAACCTACCTAGAGGCACCTTGGAAGACAGACCTGGTGATCTGCTTTGAAAAGGTCACAGCCTTGAAAACCTCGTGGAGCAGTTCTACTCTGTACATGTGGGCTTGCGGTGAGTCAGAATTGACTCGATGGCAACTGGTTTGGTTTTGGTTTGGTTTCCACACCCTATCCAAGGAAACCTGGATATTCTACATGCCCAATGAGCCCTTTTAGTAGGAGTGGAGCTTCACCTGTAGGGAGGCCCATTGTATAGACCAGCAAATGCTGTAACAGTGATCTTAAGGAACCATTGCACCCTCTGACTTAGGGTCCCCAACTTTGCCTGACAAGCAGCTTTGCATATCAGCAGTCCTGATCTCCAACGGGTGTGTATGTGTGCACATGACAGAGGTGGGAGTCTGAGGCCAGTGTAAGCCTCGAGCTGGGAGTGCAAGTTGTGGATATTTTCCAAGGATACTTCTGGGAAGCTGCAAGAGCTGGAAGAATCGATGGGGTATGGCTTGGAGGTCAGATAAGGGGTGGGGAGTCTAACTATGATGGGAAGCACTCCAGCAAAGATCGCTTGAAAGATTTCTGTAAGCCTCTGAGGAGGCCTTCCTACCTTGCCTCTATGCAGCATCCCCTGGGAATATCTCAGCTTCTTCTTACTTAATAGAGGTTCTCTTGTGTGTGTTTTGCACATGCCCACTGCTGGTCTGGTCTGAGAATGCTGTACCAGGACTCCTGATAGATCCCAGTCTTGACCAGACCTTTTGTAAAGCATGGTAGATACCCTTGTCAAGCCCTGGTCTGGGACTAAAGGCTGTTGCCGAGCCAGAAATCTGATTTACAGAGTTTTCAATCAATGCCTTTAGGAGCTTTCTTTTATCTAGTTTATGGTTTGTTGGAAATATAGAAACTAACCCAAAATCCTTCCCAGCTGCTGTCTTATCTGATCTCATCTTCTTCAAGAAGCTTCATGCTTAAATGTTCTTCTGGGACCATTGCTAGAATCTCCTTCCCTTTAGGTCAAAGATTCTTTACCTGAGTCCATGGACCTTGGATGGGACTTAGGGAGCCCATTAATCCTCTAAAATCTGCAGACTTCTGTGTATATGTGTGTTTTTCTAGAGAGAGGGACTGTAGCTTTGTTTAGGTTCTCAGAAGGGTTCATGATCCCCTAAAACTAAGAAATTCTTGCTTTAAATGCACTTGGAGCTTGGGTTAGCAAAAGTGTTGGGTTCAAAGCGGTAGCCTAGTCCTGACCAGGTTCACCTGTAGAGCTGGGGCTGTGTTGCTTGGAGGGGCTTTCTTGAGGCCACAGCAGCTCAGAAACAGAGAGCACTACACTGGCTAGGAGAGGGAGTGGGAGGCAGGGCCCTCAGCCTCCACTTGCTTCAGAGCCTGGCTGAGCCTCAGGGCAGACTGTTGGTTCCAGAGGTGTCCAAAGGGAGACCAGAGGCACTGCTTGGAGAGGACTCAGATGTGTTCTCTGAGCATCTCAGCCAGGCCGCTCACTCTAGGGGCCAGGTCAGGAGGTGGGGTGTGCAGGCCAGAAGTTAGAAGTGGTGGCTGCTCTGTGCTGGGGTCCTGATTGGGGCGAGGAGGAGAGCAACATAGTCCTCCTACAAGGGAGACAGGGCAGGAAGGGAGAGTCGGAATAAAGGGAAGGAAAAGGGGACAGGAGCCAAATGATGATTGGTCTCTAGCATGAAGGAAAACTCTTAGAGGCTGTAAAGTGGGGAGAAGAACTGCTTCTTGCTGAGAATTAGCCCAAAGGAAGGTGGGGAGAGCTCCAGCCATGATGTTGCTGAAAGCTGGACAGGCGGCAGTGGGAACACGTGTTGGAGGGAACGTGCCTCCCCTGGCAGGGTGTCTGGGCGGGATGACCTCATCCCTTCCATCCGACTGAGGCTTTATTATTCCAGGCTCTAGGTAGACATTACGCTATGCTGAGCCTAAAGGTGAAAGGAAGAGCTGCTTGCTTGTGTCTTGAGGTTCTTGTGGCCCCTTGGTGGGAGAGGGCAGACCGCTGATGGCTTCCCCAGTGGCCTGCATTAGAAATGCTCTGGTGGGTGCAATGGGAGATGCCTTCCTCGGGACTCCTGCCTCTCCTCCACAGCCGGCACCCTCCTCACACTGAGGGGAAGGCAGAGGCAGGCAAGACACTCCAAGGTGGGTCTGACCACTCCCTGACTGTGCAGCCAGCGTCCTGTTACAGCAGCTTGCTGCCTGCCCACCTGGTGCACACTGCAGGGCAGGCTGTGAGAGTGGGTGTTGCACGTGAAAGAAACCAGCAAACCCAGTTGTGGTCAAGTTGACTCCGGCTTATAGCAACCCCATGAGTAGGACTGTGCTCCACTGCATTTTCCATGGCCCATTTTTCGGAAGTAGATAACCAGGCCTTTCTTCCAAAGCACCTCTGGGCGAACTCAAACCGACAAACGCTTGGTTAGCAGCCAGGCATGGTAACCATTTGCACCACCCAGGAACTATAGAAGAGGAGTAAAAACACCAAGTACCCTGTACTGGCAGAGGAAAATCTGAGCTCCACGTTGAAGAATGTCATGCCTATTTCAGAGAGCCCTAAGCCCTGTCCCTAGGACAGACGAAACAGATGCCCAAAGAGCCAGCAGTAGGCAGCAGACCCCAAAGACCCTCCCTCACATCTTTCCCCAGGTCTTCCCTGGGCTAAGCTTGTCAGGATGGGGTCCCACTGGCAGATCCACTGATTACACCTCCCTGGTGGGGACATGCCCAAGGCTGAAATCCACGTAACAGGGATGCTTGGCTTTTTTTTTTGTAATGAAACTTCTTTTCTCCTAAACTTTGAGGCCATTTGGGGGTGGAAAGGGGAGGGACTTTGCTGGCTCCTTCATAGGGGAGGCTTCAGAGGTGGTAGCTTCCCTGCTAGGAAACTCAGCAAACATCAGAGAAAAGAAGTGCCTTGAATATTCTTCTTACCAGATGCAGCATCAGAATATCCTGACAGGCCTGAAACCCTGGTCTGGGGCCCCTGTGTGGTAGTGAGCCCCTCCTTCCCCCAATCCCTGCTTCTGTCTATGGTGGTCCACATATACACTATGTCCCAGTGCCCTGGAGACCAAGCATTAGAATGTATGGGACTCCCAACCTCAACCTATTCCCCTTCCCAAGGGAAACTTGCCCAGGAACTTTAGCACAAGTGCCTCCAACCACATTCACTCATTGTCAAGCCCTGGATCCCTGGGGTTCACGAGACTCTGTCCTTCTGGTCAGAGGCCCCAGTCACCCCTCTGGAATAGACCCATCATTGGCTTTTAAGTTTTTAGATATCAGTTATCACCCTGAATCCTTTGGGGCCAAGATGGAGCATAAATAAGTAAATAAAATGGGTGGTCAGGCCATCGTGTGCAGTTGTAGATGTGGACATTGATCTTGGAATCTTTGGTCACCCCATACACATGGCTGTGTTAAACAAGGTCACTTCCGTGCAGCTCCACACCAGGAAGATTTCCTGGTTACTTGAGTCCAGTGTTTTTCAGCAGAATCACCCCAGCCCTCCTGACTTAAAACCTCTGGGTAGGCAGACTCACCTCCCATAGGTCTGGGGCTTGCTAGTTTTTGAACCTTTGTTTGTGTCCATCCCAGTTGCCTCTTTCTCTCGATTCTTATTGCACTTGGTACCCAACAGTGATAGACCATGGTCACTTCACAGTTTACATTTCATTGTCACTGCCTGTTTTCACGTGTTTTGGCTCTGTCTTATGGAGATATTGAACATCTCGAGACCAGAGACTATTCCTCCTGCTTTGGAAGCCCTCCCAGGACCTGGCCTGGCTCTGGGTGTGTGTGGAGGGTATGGGAGAGGGCTTCTATATGTGTTCCTACAATACTCGGCATGGAGCGCCCTTTCACACACTCATGTGCCTTCATGAGTGCACGTGTTCATATGTGAAGAGCAGCTTGCCTAGCAATGGACAGCAGACCAGGAGAAGACAATTTGGATGCCAGCTGTGGTTTTCTCAGGTGAATTAAATCCAGCCAATGTGTCTTGAGCATCCATCTTGTTCAAGAACATTCCTGGCTATGGTTGATGGTGAGGCAGTTTCATGTAATAAAGGGTTACCCACTTTGGGACCCTCAAGAAATGGATCATCCAGTCTTGAAACTCAGGTTGGAGAGCGTGGCTTGACTCTGTCACACACTGAACAGGCCTGGGAGACCTTTGGCATGCATACCCTGGCATCTATCTATTTTGGGGGAGAATCGTGGTAGTGCTGATGCCTCCTGCAAGATCCTCAGCAGCGTTCTCTGGGATGGGGTATCTGTCTGTGGGCCAGGTTCACTGAGCCAGACCCCAGCCACACCCTGGAGGAGCGCGTCGTGCACTGGTACTTCAGCCAGCTGGACAGCAACAGCAGCAACGACATTAACAAGCGGGAGATGAAGCCCTTCAAGCGCTATGTGAAGAAGAAAGCCAAGCCCAAGAAATGTGCCCGGCGTTTCACTGACTACTGTGACCTAAACAAGGACAAGGTCATCTCTCTGCCTGAGCTGAAGGGCTGCCTGGGTGTTAGCAAGGAAGGTGAGTGCTCTCTCCTGTGCTCCTGACCCCACCCAGGCACAGAGACCAAGGGTTCCCCCAATAAATGAGGTCCCAGGTACTCATTTCTTCAACTATTTCTTGGGGATGTGTTACGCTTTATGCTAGATGCCTGATGCAGTGGTGGAATTGACTGATAAGGTTCCTATCCTTACACAGTCTACTGAGGAGACAGATAGTAAGCAACTAACTACATTCATTGTGATAAGTGTTACTAGAAAGTATTAGTTAGAATAGGCCAGGCTGCCATAACAAATAGACCCAAGTATGTAACAGGTCAACACAGGGGAATTTTTTTTCTTTGTCCATGTTATAGTTAAGTGGGGTTCCAGGTTATGGTATGTGTGTGGGGAGGAGGTCGGCAGTAGGAGGGGGGATTGCTCCATGTAGTCACTCAGGGATCCAGGCTGACAGTGGCTCTGCCCTCTACATCATGTGGTTTCCAAGGCCACCTTCCGGATCATCTTCATTCCTAGTCAGCCAGAAGGAGTAAAGCATGGGGAAGTGCATGTAGGGGAGTTTCATGGATCAGTCCTGGAAGTGATGCACATTACCTCTTTATATTCCCTTCCTGGACCTTGGTCACTAGACCAAACCCAACAGTAAGGAAGACTGGGAGCCTAGGAAGAGGAGGAGAACCTGGATTTTGGTGAATACTTAATAATCTCTGTCACAGTAGAGCAAGTGCAGAGTATTGTAGGAACACATGTAGAAGCCCTTATATCAGCTAAGGGGGCAGGTCTTGGAAAGCTTTGTGAAGGAAGTGATGTCTAAACCAGAGGCCAGTAAAACATAGCCTGCAGGCCCGGCCATGGCCTGTTTTTAAATGCCCCATGAGCTAAGCATGGTTTTTTTCATTTTTAAAGGGTTGTAATTAAAAGAATACACAACATAAACTGTATATGACCCACAAAGCCAAAAAAATTTACTATCTAGTCCTTTATAGAAAATTTTGCCAGCACCTGGTCTAAACTAACACCTGAGGAATGAGTAGGAGTTGGCCAAACAGAGAGGTCCTAGGAGGGAAGAGGGCTCTAAGCTGAGGAAAATGAGGTGTGAAGATCTAGAGGTGAGAAAACAGATTTTTAGAAGAACTCAAAAGATGTTAATGTGACTGAAATGCGTATTTGAAGGTGGCAAGGGAGGGGAGGAGGTAGGAGACAAGGTAAGGTTGAAAAGCCTTTTAATCCTTGTGGAAAGCTTAGACTTTATAAGGGCAGTGGAAAGTATAGAAGAGATTCAACCAGAGAAATAATAGGTTCAGTTTTGCTTAAATTATGCTGGCTACAGTATGAAAATGGATTGGAGATGATCCAAGCAGGGTCATCAAATAGGGCTGTGGCATAGTCTAGGCAAGGGGTGATGGTGGCCTAAGTTATGAAAAACGAAGTGAGGGATGAAGGAAGTGAGTCGATTCAAGAGACACATAGAAAGTACAACTGCAGGACTTGGTGACTGAGTGGACATAGGGACTGAGGATTGGTTTGGGCAACTGAAGGGTGGATCCAGTCACTGAGATGGGTAACCTGGAAGGAACAGCAGAGCACCTACTAGAAGGATGAGGAAACAAAGAGTGCAGTTTAGACAAGCTGAGTTGGATGCACCCAAAGAATAAGTGGGTCTGTAGCACAGGTGAAGGGTCTGGGCTGAAGACGAAAATGTGGGTGGCACTGGCTTATTTGAAATGGAAGCTTCAGAAGAAGCTGAGATTGCCTAGGGAGAGGGTTTAGCATAAGAAGACAAAAAGGCTTTTCCTTCTTCTAACCCTGGGTTGTCAGTGTAAATCGAAAGAGAAGCATGCAAGGTAGATGAGTTATCACAGGTACCCAGCCTTAGGATCTGTCCCCTTCCATAGCTGGGCTCTGTTCCTGGTTTGATGTTAACTGACATGTGACCCAGAGTGAGTTACTTCATCACTCTGGGCTCCTTGTGAGATGAGCATGCCCGACCTTACTTTTAAGTTAATGAACATTTATGGAGAAAGATTCTAATCTACTTCAAGGTAATTTATTTAATAGATAGGCTTACAGGCATGGCCATTCTTCTGACAAATGAGAGATTTGTAAATCCCATAGTATTGAGTCTTCAGGACACAGTGCAATGTCATAGTTCAAGCCCTGGCTCTGCCACTGACTAGCTCTTTCACCACACTCAGATTACTCAACCATTCTGTTTCAGTTTTTTCATCTGTAAAATGGGAAAAACAATAGTACCTACCTCATAGGGAGGTTGTGTTGATCAAGTGGAACAATGAATTAAGTTAAGCATTTATCATAGTGCCTATGACATTGAACAACTTCAGTAGTTCACTATTGCCATTTGTCTACATATGATTATTATCCCTGCCAATAGCACTTACCACACCGTATTGCACTTTACTTTTCTAATTCCCACATGAAGCCACAAACCATGTCTTGTCTTTTCAATTTCTAAAGTCTAGCACAGTACATGCCACCTAGTAGCAGCTCATTAAATCCTTGTTGAATGGATGAATGAATGAATGAGGGGATTGCCTCTGGTGGCAGCATCACGCTTTCACACACTTGGATTCTGTGTTCATTTAGCAGAGCACAGGCAGACGGCCAACCTTGGGAGAGACCATTCAGTGCTAGTGAGACACCAGCCCTACTACCCAGGCCACTTCTTGGCTGAGTGGGGATGGGATCATAGAGGGCTGCACTGACCCTGACCTCAGTGCCCCTTCCCGTGGTGGTAGTTCTGGTCCGCACAGCTCACAGAGGCCAAGGGAAAGCCAAGTGTGGTGACCTCGGGTCCACAGAGCCCAGGAAGACCCCCTAGCCTTCCTCTGAAGCCTTGCAGGGCACAGGGCCTGAAGGAGGCATCAGGAAAACTACGAACTGGAATGCACTATTTAGGGAGCACTGCTTGTCCAGATGTTCCTCCTCAGCTCAGTTCAGTTGGGAAAGGTTTTAGTTCCAAGTTACCGTGACAGCTTTGACCAGAGAGATCCCTTGGTGCTTCAGAATACAATTGTCATTTTCCTTGGCCAACGCATTCAACTTACCCCTCTGACCTCCTCCACCCCAAAGATGGGAGGAGGGGAACCAGAGAGCTTTGGGACCAGTGTTGACCCCTGAATGAAAAGTATGGCTAGGGTGCGTGTGTTGAGGTATTCGTGTATGTGTGCATGTGTGCGTACATGTGTGTCTGTGTTTGTGTGCATGTCTGTATGTGTATCTGTGTGTGCATGTCTGTGACTGTCTCTGTGAGCACTATGTGTGCTCTCTGCACATGTCTGAGTGTGCAACTGTCCGTGGGTCTGTGCATGTGTCTGTATATGTCTGAAAGCATGTTTCTGTGCTCATGTGTGCATAACCTGTGCATATGTGTGCATATGTGTGTGCATGTGTCTGTGTATGTGATAGGGTGAGGAAGAGTGGAGCATCGGGGTAAGGGACAGAATGGTGTGTAGGATTAAACAGAGGGAGGTGGAAGGAGACTGCACAGATTTAAGGTCTATGGAGGAAGTTGAGCAGAGTTGGTCTCTTTCCACTCCCTGTTTCTACACACACTACAGGATATACTGCTTTAGGCCTCTAGAATCTGAGAGCTGGAAGGCTCCTTATATCCTCTAGTTCGTTTTGCAGTTGAGGAGACTAGGCTACGCTACAGAGTGGTAGCAAGGTCACACATGAGGTAGCATCATTGCTGGTGCTTGGAGCCAGCCTTAGGATTCTCAGGCCAGACTGCTGTCCCCTCCATGAGAAAGACTCCAGAGTGTCTGAAGACGGTCCTTTGTGTGAGCAGGTCAGTCTTGCTTGCTTGAGGAAGACCAAAGGAGACCAAGACCATGGGTGAGTCCTGAGCAGACCAGCCTTGGGATGCTGTAAGCAGGAGTAGAAGCTGCTGGGGGGAGGGAGTCACTAGCAACCAGAGCAGGGAAGCCCAGACTTTCCAGACAGGTGGTGCCTGCAGGAGAATGGACTGCTATTGTGAGGCACAGCAGAGGTAAAGGCAGGGAACCCACGGATCTATTTTTCTCTAGGTACAGAGGGGGCTGTAGGTAAGAGCAGAGGCCCTCAAAAGTCAGATGGGCCTGGCTTTTAATCTCAGCTCTGCAATTTACTAACTCTGTAATCTTTGGCAAGCTACCTAAACTCTTTGAGCTTCAGTTTCCTCATCTGCAAAATAGAGATTGATAGTATCTACCTCACGGATTTGTTGTGAAGATTTAACAAGGTAATGCACGTGAAAAGCTTAGCACAGTACCAGGCTCATATGAAATGCACAAAAGAAATTACTATTAGTGGAGGAACACACCCATGGGCTGAAGACATGACTGGCAGCTTCCCTCGTCCCTCGCTCTGGGGAGCAGCAGAAAAGCCGCATGAGTGGATGGTATGTAGCAGCCCAAGGAGCAGAGCCATATGTTGGTCGTCTGATATCACACGGTGCCCTCTGGTGGGCTGAGAGGGGCTTGCACACTAGGTGGGGGGCAGGACAGAGTGGGGAGCAGGTGGAGAGCTTGGGGATGAGTGTAGCTTTGGGTTTGAGACACTGCATTTTTGAAAATGCCGCATGAGCACAGCTGCTTTTACCACTGGCCTCCTTGCTGGGGAGCTGAACTCCCTGCATGGCATGGAAAGGCTAGACACTCTGAGGGCTGGGGCTTCTCCTAAGTGAAGGAAGTGTCTTTTTCTTAACTGGTTGCAGGGTGGAGACTAGATCCTCCATGTTTGAGAAATGCTGACTCTTCCTTTAAATTGCCCCGGGATGCCACCTGCCCTGGTGGTGGCTGTTCCTCACCCTGCACTCCCAGGTGGTAAAGACAAGGGGTTCCAGAGGCAGATAGTCCAGGTCTGAACTGGTTTCACCCCAGAATAGCTATGCCATCTGGGCAAGTTACTTAACATCGCCAAGCCTCAGTTTCATCATCATAAAATGGGAACAATTGTGTAACTGTCACATAGAGTTGCTATGAGGATGAAACGATCTGATACACGGAAGGGAAGTAGCACAGAGAACCTTTTAAAACGAGAGCTGGTTACTACTAGCTGTGTATTTGGTTTCTGAAGTCTCAGCTTGGTGGGGGGGCTGCTGCAGGCCTCCTCTTTATAGGTGTAGATCTTTCTGCTCAGAGAAGCAGCTGCCGGGGAGAGCAGAAGAAAGATGGGATTTGGAGCCAAGCAACCAGGCAACCTGGCCCAGTCCCTGCCCAGCTGCCTGGCCTTGGGCCTGCCACTCTCTCTGTCCAAGTCTGCTTCCTCGTCTGTAGAACTGGGTATAGCAATATCCAATGGTCTGATACACGACTGATCATGGAGATGGCACAGGACCGGGCAGCGTTTCATTCCGTTGTGCATGGGATCACCACGAGTCGGGGGCTGACTCAGTGGCAACTAATAACATCCCCCTGCCAGCCGTGCTCTGCCTCTCTCTCAGGTCTAAAGAAACGGTAGCATAACTGGGGGGACTTTGGACTTTGAGCTGTGGATTCCCACGATCCCTGGATGGGCCTGGGTTCCACAGCCCTGTGTACTCATCAGAGCCTTTTCTCCACCTCCATGAGCTCAGTCGATTCTCACGGCACCCCTGTGAGGGAGGCAGAGCAAAATCAGCATAGCCGTGGTCTTAATTCTCCTTCTATGGATGGACCAGAGAGGTTAAGGGGCATGCCCAAAGTCACACAGCCTTCGAGGGCCCCATGGAGCTGGCCCAGCCCTTCCTCCTCAGCACGCTGTTCCTCTTGTGGGACATCTGGGCCTTGTAGGGGCTGGCACAGCCAGTCTGCAGAATAGCTCAGCATCCTCTGGGGAGTGGCAGGTGTTAGCAACAGGCCTTGGGCCTTGTGTGGATCTCTTGACTGCTCTGGGCCTCTGTTTCTGGATCTGTAAAGTGAAGGGACTAGACCAGCTGATTGCCAAGATTCCTTCCAGCTCTGACCCTCTGCAACTCAGGAAACCAGGACCCAAGAAGGTTATGCAAATGTCTGTCAGCACCAAAGCCCCTCTTAGCTAATAGCTGAGAATCCCAAAGGGGAACCCCAGCAGGGATCTGGCCTTATGGAAAGGAGACTTTGATTAAAGGTGTTGGCTAGTAATGGGCTCTCTCAGGCAGACCAGGGCCATGAACACCCACAGAACAGGAAGCATGGCCACAAACTTTGGACTCTTTCCCAAGTCCGGTCTTCATTCTGGGAGCCAGAGAGGTAGGAACCCAGGTAAAGAAAAAGCTCTATCAGTTCTCTGGGTCAAGGCCACCCGAGTGACATCTGTTCTTCTTTGTTGCAGGTGGTAGCCTCGGCAGCCTCCCTCAGGGAAAACGAGCAGGCACAAATACGTTCAGTAAGTTGCCTTCTTTCTCAGGCTCCTGCCTTCCTCTACAGAGCCCTAATGCAGCTTTGTTAGTGCAGCAGGGTGGGAGTGGGGGGTGGAGGGGACGGGTGGGGAGCTGGCCAAATTATTTAGACTCTTGTTTCCATTCTTTGCTAAAGATACAAGAGAAAGATTTGGTTAGTGCTAAGAGGACCCTGCTGTCCCCACCTATAAACAAGCCCTTGCCACTTCTGTCCCTGGTTGAAAAGCTGGCATCTCAAAGTGCACAGCCCCCAACCTATGCTGACTGAGCAAAGCCTAGTTCTCCAGAATGCCCACCTTATTTCAGTTGCCATTGTGATGCCTCACAGTGGCAAAGGACAGGCTGGTGAAACGCGGGTTTATTCACAAGTCAAGGCTACTTGTTCCCCACCCCAACCCTTATCTAACAGCAGGTGAGGAAGGTTGCTCTTACGGGGAAATGGATGTATGTAGCTCAATTTCTCATAAACCCAGTTCTAACGTCTTATCTATACCGCCTCTTCTTTCTGCACCCTCCCTCCCCCTCTCAGTAGGACGCCTTGTCTAAGGAGCAGAAAACCAAAGGGCAGGTGGAGAGTCCAGGGAGACAGGATGGATCATCAGAAACCTAACCTTTGACGTTGCCCATGGCCCAGCCACATCCCATGTAACACAAGTGGTGCCCACCATGTTCGCACTTTTAATAACTCTTGTTTGCGTGTTTTATTTTTGGCTTCATTTGTAAACACGATTCATTATCTAATACCACAGTGGGAAAAGGAAAGGAACAAAGACTGTGTAGTCTCTCTCTTATCTTAAGTTTTTGGATCTGCTACTGACAACTTTAGTTTATTGGGGTGGGGGGCATGGTTGGGATTGAGAAGAAAGAGATTTATATACTGTATATAAATATATATGTAAATTGTATAGTTCTTTTGTACAGGCGTTGGCATTGCTGTTTGTTTATTCCTATCCCTCTCCCTGCTGGGGGTGGTAGGGGCTCTGGACACATGTTCCAGCTTTCTACTTCCAAGACTTTAATCCCCAGCCCACCTGTATTCTTCTTAGAGTCTGGCCCTCGTGTACATGCAGATGTGAGCCTTGCAATTATACTGCAGATTCCATTGGTTCTTTCTGGGTGGAGGGAGAGTACTGCCCCATGCCATTAGCTGTCAAAGCTGGCAGGTCACCTGGTCTTTGGCCTTCTCCAAGGGAGGTTGGCCTGGAGAGAAGTAGGACTTGCCTCCAGAGGGGAGGGGATTCCAGATCATGTGAGTAGCCAGCACAGGCACCAGTTCTCCCACACCCTTTGTGTTCCTGCTTTCCAGACCCCTGGGTGGCCTGGAATCAGTGAGCACACCCGTATTTAGTGACTCACTGAGCCAATTATCCTCACACGATTTGTAGTAGATCAGTTTAGACATTTTCATCCGTATTTACCATCTACTCTGTGTAAAGCACCATGTTAGGCAGGAGAGGGGAGGCAAAGATGAAACAAACACACAGTAGGACCTTTAATTTAGTAGACGTTTAATATTTATGCAGTGGGGGGAAGAGGACAGAAAGCTTACGTTGGTGTGTGCGGTGCCGACAGGACAGCAGATGAGCTGAGAAAACTCACCCCTCTGCAAGTCCACAAATGAGACTTCCTGAGATACAGCTCTGTCACAACTGGGGCCAGACTGAGTTTTACCTCTCACTCTCCAGTATGCCCCACTGCTGCCCTCAATAGTCATTAGAAGCCTGAGGGAGGAGTTGAGTCAGCCACCTGTTGGTAACGCAATAGTTTTTTTTTTTTTTTAAGCCCAATACTGAGGTTCTTGCAGCTCCTTGAATTTCTTCATGGGTGTCCAAGCTATAGGCCAACTCCAGAAGTAAAACTGATCTTGAATCGCCCTACTTTTGCCACCTCTAGAAGTGCAGGGATAATAACTCAGCTGTGGGGAAATCTGGAGCCCTGGTGGTACAGTGGTTAAGAGCTACAGCTGCTAACCAAAAGGTCAGCAGTTTGAATCCACCAGCTGCTCCTTGGAAACCCTACGGGGCAGTTCTACTCTGTCCTATAGAGTTGCTATGAGTCGGAATTGACTCGACGGCACCGAGTTTGTTTTTTTTTTTTTTTTAAAGGGGAAATCCAGGCCTCGCTTTCCACAGATGTTTTACGAGGCTCCAGGGTGGGCTGCCCAGCCTTCTGGTCAGATGCACATCTTCCTCTGCCCAGGTGATGGGTGCCCCTTCAGACAGTTTTCAGACTGAGAACAGCAAATGATACTAGCGCCTCTTCCCATGAGCAGCTATGGGCAGAAAGGGAGGTCTGGTAGCCCAGGAACAGTGCCCTCATAGGATTGCTTTCAGAATCTGGCCTCACCTTGTATTCCATTCCAGTGTTCCCATAAGGGCATCCACCTTGGGCGACCATTTATCCCGTTTGGGGTCTGGAAGGCTTTGGCACTGCAAGCACTGGTCCAGTCAAGTGTCCCAGTGGGGAGGGGCATGGCCTTCTTGGTATGGGACCTGATGGGACCTCAGGTTAGAAAGGGTTCTGGCTGACCTGGTAAAAATCCTACAGGTTTCTCAGGGGTGACTGGTGGCCCCATCCGACAAGGTAAGGTGGAAAGGGCGCCCTTACCTGTTAGCTGGACCAGAAAACGTAGCATGCTGACCTGAGTGGGCCTGGCAGGAGACCAGCCCTCTCTTCTGGCCTGGAGGCTCCTCCTTGCAGAATTTCAGATCTTCCCCAGGCGTTTTCTTTCTCACACGTGTGTAGGCTGTTCTGTGGTTTTCCTTTGTGATGGAGGGAGGGAAAACCATTTGTAGCTTGTTTTATAAAAAATAAAAACGAGTAAACCTGTGTGGCTCTTGCCTCTTTCTTCGGGTGGCTTCCTCTAATCGAAGGGCTTCATTTCCTAGAAGGTTTAGTCATTTTCTCTGGCGTGGGCACCCTCCACTCTGCTCCTAGGAAGTCTGAGCTGCTGTTAATGATGTTCCTAGAAGGAAACCCGGAACCCTGGTGGCATAGTGGTTAAAAGCTGAGCTGCAACCAAAAGGTCAGCAGTTCAAATCCACCAGCCGGTCCTTGGAAACCTATGGGGGCAATTCTACTCTGTCCTATAGGGTCAACTATGAGTCAGAATCAACTCCACAGCAAAGGGTTTGGTTTCTAGGAGGGAACCCCGAAGTGGCCACAAGGGGGCACTGCGCTTTGCCATGAGGACACTGATTCTCTAGGATGTCTCCCACAGTGTTTGTGCACTCTCTGTAAATCCTCCTCTTACCTCCACCCTTACAGCTGCCTCATGGGGTCCCCTCCTCGATTTCCACATCACTGGAATGTAGGGAATATTGCTGGCAGCACTTTGGGGGCAGGGCTGCGGGGGAGCCCATTCCTTGGCACACTGGCCATAATCCAGACTACAAAACCCTAGGCTAAGCTGTAGACATGGACAGGAAGCAGAACCCCCCTGGGGCTCATGCAACCTGTGGCCCAGTTTTGTGGGGGATCATACTCAGGCTAAGGCTGCTGGTCTGCTTTGGAGAGCTAGAGGACTTGAGGGTGGGGATTGGCAGCACGAGTGGGAATGTCAATTTTATCCAGTATTAGTGGAATCTTTTCTGTTTGCTCTCTCCCTCTGCACACAGGTGTCCCCAGAAATGGCCTCGCTCAACCACTCACTTGAGAACCCCCTCCAAATTCCTTTTGCCACACTCTGCACCCCTGCCCTTTGCAGGTCAACAGAAGATAATTTTTCTTGAGAAATTCTCCCTCAACACTTTCTCCACCTAAGCTTGCCCAGAATGTCGTCACACAGGTCCCTCCTTGTCCAGGATCTCTTCAGCCTTGGAATATTGTCCGATATAGTGCTGGAAGATGAGGCCCCTAGGTTAGAAGGCACTCAGAATACACAACAACTCTAACAATGGACTCCAGCATACCAATGATCATGATGATGGCGCAGGACCAGGCAACATACTTGGGGTCACCAAGAGTTGGAGCTGACTTGACGACAACTAACAACACCACAGTTTTAAGGGATTTGGGACAGAGAAATAGGGAGTGCCGTTGCCCCTACAGGACCTAGCTGGGAGACCTGGGATTAAACTAGCCTCCAGCAGAGCTCAGCCTGGTGTGGGAAGGAGCAGATCTCAGCTCACACATTACTGCAGGCTAGTCTTTCCTCTGCTTTTGTCCAATGACAGCAAGACCAAGAGTCAAGGAGAAGTAGAAGTAGATCCATCCTATTTCTTCCTTTGCCAAGAGGCTTCCGAGCCATGTTTGGCTTCTAGGGGCAGGGCAGGCTGGGGACATTTTCTGTCAGATGTTAGGGATGACTGCCGCTGGGGTCAGGGGTCTTTTCAGGGTCCATGTAATGCTGGCAGAGAAGGGCCCTCAGGCTAGTAGTCATTCCTGAGGCTCAAGGGGACCTATGGGTATGGGAAGCTGGCAGCACCAGCCACCTTGTAGAAAAAGCCCCCTAAGATAGCCAGGCTGGTTTTCTGGCCATTTACTCCCAAGTTCTTGAATGACCACAAGGCTACAGGTGGGCCCACCAAAGAGGTCAAAGACCTTCCCAGGCACCCTGGGTCTTCTGGTTGTGGCACTTAGCTTTTTTCGTTGTACAGGTGGATACAGGTGAAACTAGCCCTTTTTCATGCAGTCTCCCAGAATCAGACTTTATCCCTAGGGCCTGAACACTACTATCCTTGTGTGACTTTCATAGATTGATAAAAAGAAGGGCCATGACCTTGGTTATATGTCTGCCTACAAAATACCTGTGCTAGGTACGTGGCACAAGTATCTCTTGTCATTTCTTGACCAATTCTGGGCAGAGCACTCTGGCCAATTTCTTGTACTCTTCAGTGTCACCCTCAGCCAGCACCTGCACTGCCCCCTTTCTTTCCTTTAACATGGTGCACTCCTATAAGGGCCCCTTTGCCTGGTGTCTTCTTAGCGAAAGCTCTGGAGCTAGCTAATAGTCCATGATCCTGTATGTGGCACCTCGGGCAAGGGCTCTGTAAGTCCAGGGCAACCCTGATACCTCATGGTGGAGGGGAGCACTGGATACTTGGACATGGTCTCTCCACAAGATGACAGGCACATCACTGAACTACTCATATGCATCAGTCAAGACAGACTAGGAAAGGCTGCAGTAACACACCACCCCCGAAAGCTCAGTGACTTAAAACACAAAGGTTGTTTTCTCACTCCTGCAGCATATCCCGTCACAGGTCAGCTGGGGGGCTTCCTTACATTGCCCTCACTTAGGGACCAGGCCGAGGGCAGCTCCATCTCCAGGCTCCCAGGGAAAATGTGAGCATGGTGAATCCCACGCTCGTTCTTCAAGCTTCTGTCTGGAAAGGGCACGTATCATTTTGCTCACATTTCAATGACTAAAACAAATCATAATTTCCCACCTAACTTGAAGGCAACTGGCAAGTGCCCAGAGAAGAACTAGAAAACTTGGTGAACAACCCTGATGACAGTTGCAGCATAGATTACCTTTGTGTTTTCTTTCTTGGTAAAATATTTGCAATTTCTACATTGTCTGAAAACAAAGAGACTTGCTTTTCACAGTTTACACAGTGCATTTCATGTATAATACTCTGACTTGTCTATCACTTTTCTGATAATTACTCTCTCCCTCCTGCCCCTAGGGGCAGTGGTGGTTCAGTGGTAGAATTGTTGCCTTCCATGTGGGAGACCCAGGTTTGATTTCTGGCCAATGCATCTCATGTACAGCCATCTCCCATCTGTCAGTGGAGGCTTGTGTGTCGACACGATGCTAAACAGGTTGCAGTGGAACTTTCAGACTGAGATAGACTAGAAAGAAAGGCCTGGTGGTCTACTTCCGAAAATTCAGCCAATGAAAGCCCTTCTGAATATAGCAATATATGATGATCCTACCCACAACCGATCATGGGGATGGTGCAGGACTGGACAGCATTTCCTTCTGCTGTGTATGGGGTCACCATGAGTTGGGGGTGACTCACAGCTGTAACAACAACACTGACAGTTCTATCACATTTCTGACAATATCCTTCCCCTCTCAGTAAAGTGGGAGAGAGTACACCTTTCCTCCTGTGAATTCCCCGCCCCATCAAGAAGCTGCAGCTAAGCCAAGGCCTTGCACCCCCCCAGTGCTGGAGACCTTGGGGAAAGGTAGGGAGGCCCATGTAACTCTGGATGAAAATAGTTGAGGACTTTTAATATCCTAGGGTACAAATGTGGAATTTTTGTTGCCCCTGCAGGCATTCCTTTCGGCTGTGCTCTGTTGCATCTTCCTTCCACTGTCATGTCACTTCAGTTATTTACAAGCTTAGCTCTGGCCAATTACAAAACTTCAACCTCCAACTTGA